TCAACTAAAAAACAGGCTAAAAACTTTCAGGAAGGTGAAAAAAGAAGCCTCTAAAAATTTGAGCTCTTAATATTATCATTTAGTGGTCCCTGTTCTTAACTTTCCATTTTCCATCTAAATAACATGGAAAAACATTTTTTCTTTTTCTTATTTTTGTAGCTTGATATTTGAGCATTGTAAAAATAAAGTGAAACATTATTTTGGTAGAAAATTGAACGCTCTACAAAAAGTTCTAATATATTTTTTTCATAGAGTGAGCCGTTCTGAAGATATTCAAACTTAAAGTTGCAAATGTATGAAATTAGGACTTTTATTTTATTAAACTGATGACTTTTTTATGTCTTAAAAATTATTTTCAAGAAAACATCATTATTTTCATATAGAAAGGAAATAACGACGCACAGAAGACAAAAATTCACCAGAAATATTTTTAAACAAAAATATGAGTGACTTTGTTTCAAAACAATCATTAAATTTTTTTGACAAATTTGATATGCCGTACGACTTTCTAGATGCAGACGTCCTAATTTGGCCAGATAATGAAAGTTATCAAGAGAATTTGGAGTATTTCGAAAAATTGAAAGTTGTCAATGACGTTGCAGGACGTGACGTCGCATTAGTAGAAGAATATAATAGATGCCTAACTAAAGATGAGGAACAATTTTAATATTTATTACAAGTGGTAAAGGAGCACCGACGAAAATATCCAAATTGTAATAAAAAAACTTCAACAAATATAGTTACATCATTCAATTCTGATAAGACATTAAAATATCTATTAGTTTCAAAATGTTAGTATGCTAATTGTTAAAAAGTTTTTTTTTTAATCTATAAAATATTAATTTTACTGAACCTAATTCATAATTACTTTTGTTTAACAGCTAATCAAATAATATCTAAGATGTATTTTTTTTAATTTTAGCTTTCTAAAAAGATTAGCGCACAAAAACCAGTTTTCTGATTAAAAATAATTTTTAAGACATAAAAAAGTCATGAGTATTAGTTTAGTAAAATAAAAGTCCTAATTTCATACATTTGCAACTTTAAGTTTGAATATCTTCAGAACGACTCACTCTATGAAAAAAATATATTAGAACTTTTTGGAGAGTGTTCAATTTCCTACCAAAATAATGTTTCACTTTATTTTTACAATGCTCAAATGTCAAGCTACAAAAATAAGAAAAAAGAAAAAAGGAAAAAGAAAAAAGAAAAAAGAAAAAAGAAAAAAGAAAAAAGAAAAAAGAAAAAAGAAAAAAGAAAAAAGAAAAAAGAAAAAAGAAAAAAGAAAAAAGAAAAAAGAAAAAAGAAAAAAGAAAAAAGAAAAAAGAAAAAAGAAAAAAGAAAAAAGAAAAAAGAAAAAAGAAAAAAGAAAAAAGAAAAAAGAAAAAAGAAAAAAGAAAAAAGAAAAAAGAAAAAAAGAAAAAAGAAAAAAGAAAAAAGAAAAAAAAAAAGAAAAAAGAAAAAAGAAAAAAGAAAAAAGAAAAAAGAAAAAAGAAAAAAGAAAAAAGAAAAAAGAAAAAAGAAAAAAGAAAAAAGAAAAAAGAAAAAAGAAAAAAGAAAAAAGAAAAAAGAAAAAAGAAAAAAGAAAAAAGAAAAAAGAAAAAAGAAAAAAGAAAAAAGAAAAAAGAAAAAAGAAAAAAACTTTTTCCATGTTATTTAGATGGAAAATGGAAAGTTACAAACAGGCACCACTAAATGATAATATTAAGAGCTCAAATTTTTAGAGGCTTCTTTTTTTACCTTCCTGAAAGTTTTAAGCCTGTTTTTTAGTTAAAAAAAAAAGTTGCTCAAAAATGAAACACCCTAATATATATAGTGTTCCGTGTTTGGGTTCGTTATAAATAAAGACCCCCTCTTTTTCCTCTTTAATGAATTAGATGTCACTGCAAATAGAATTCGAAAAAATTTGACACATTTAAGGAATCTGGTACATAGAAAAAACATTCTGAAAACGCTGTACCAAATCAAACAAATTGTTATTCCGTCTTCCATCATTCCTCTACTGTGAAACGTTTTAATTGTTTAATTATTTGTGCTCATTTAGAAAAATGTGTTTAATTAAGAACTGTGACATTAATGAATTAAAAATATGATAAAGCCTATTGATTCTGAAAAGATCTGATTGAAAATGGGAGTCAAGGGGATTTGTTAAACTGTGAAGAGTATAATTTAGAATACCGCATTATATATCTTCAGTCTAGTTTGTATCTGGATAATGGTATTACTTTTAGGTTTTAAACATTTAAATTTTGTAGTAACCTATTTACTTGTTTTAAGCTTTGCTTTTTTTTTGTAAAGTGTGTGTATGCAAAGCACAAGCAAGTTCGGATTGCATTGTATACATATGGAAAGAAGACCGTGGACTCGCGAAACACAGAATACAGACTTCCAGCGCTCATTTAGGAAACAGCACGGAACGTTTAATTGGGTCAATGTTGCCAATTACAGAGATAAGGGAGATAAAGATAGGAAACGCCCATAAGAAGCCAATGCTTAACAACGACCAGCTTTATCGCAGTTAACATCTGACCCACTATGTGGCGCTTTCATCGATATCAAACAACGCAGCGGGAAATTTAAAAACCTGATAATAAAGATTGCATAAATATCGACTGCACTCTCATGTTCTTGTAAATAAACTTAAACAATGTAATTACGCTAAATTATTTATTAAAAAGAATTAACTACACTTATTATCGATTAATTATTGTAAATCTATATTATCAACTATACTTATCATTTTTGTTTTAATTTTGCTATCTTATTTAAAAATGTTGAGTGCAAATTCAATAATGTGAATTCAGATATTTTTCTTCCTATATTAAATCTTCTTTCTAACGTTTTGAAGCCATTTTCTTGTTCTAAAACAATAAATAATACATAAACACCTACTTTGTGACAAAAGTTAATTACTATTTGTGTTACTTACATAAATAGATCTTACCTATTTTGGTTAATTAAAGAACGCCACATTGGGGTTGTTAGATTTGTTCATGTGGCATGTGTTACTAATGCAATACGTTCTCCGACTTATTGTAATGATACAAAATATAATTATTGTCCTTAAATTTTACACAGAAACAGCCACAACTATTTCCTTAGTTCATCTAGAGGATAACACAATCATGAACTCAAAATTTAAAATTTAAATTCAGGATTCTTCGATATACATAAAACTGACATTTATAATTTACAAACTGTCCACTGCTGTCCACGTCTACTATCTGTCTCAGTGTGGCCAACCGTACGATTTAAATCGTATTTATACGATTTTTTAACTCTCTGTACGATGTACGATTGCATCAGTGAGATAGTACGTAAAAATAATATCTTCACTTTTTTTAGTAAGTTTATTTAAATATCTGCAACAACTTTAGAATATAAAACAATAAAAGTCAAAAACTACTTGCAAAGTAGGCCGTTCGTAATTTCTGAAAGCAGTCATTTTCGTTCTGACTTATCGTGATTTTGACCACGGTGATTTTGTACACCGACTATCACGGCATAAGAAAAGCTGGCATGCAAAATTTCAAACACTTTCAAGCGACAGTGATAGATTACTTTAAATGTGTTAATTTAAAGTTTCATGTATTTTCTTTAGTTTTTATTTTTTTCGGTTTGTAAACATTTTTATAAATAGATAAAGAAAGTATCATGTCATTCCATTTAAGTTATATTATGCTATGCATGTATCTATTGTACAATTTTCTTGTCGAAATACCATTTTTCTACTCTACTTCAACGATCTCTCAAAAAAAATATTTGGCAACACTGGTCTCTCTACAAACGACGTAGACCTGTAGTTAACATCTGAGACGCTAGATGACGCCATCGTTGCTGCGGTCGTTGCGTTTCCAATCTTTATGTCCCTTATCTCTGGCCAATTAGATAGCCAGTTTCACATAGCTTTCAAATAGCTGTGTTGCGCGGATACGGTACCTCCGACCTTTTCCGCCAAAGTTAATAGTACAAGGGATTGAAGGAAAAGCTATAAATTGTTTATTTCAGCTGGAAAATACGTGAAACAATTCGTTTTGCTCGGTTCTGCTTTGATAACTTTAAAGGCCGAAGTAACAATACGATGATTTTTGTTACAAAGGAAAATAATCGTAATTTGAGATTTAACCTTGAATTAATTAAAATACACTTACATACTTTCTTGAGAACAAATATAGATTCAAACTGCTTTCAATTTAGCCAAAATACTATTTTTAAATAAATAATGCAAAAAATATTTCATAAAAAAAAGAAAATACTTATACCAACTTACTGTTTTGTGAAATGGTAATGTTATTATTATTTATAAAACAACTGTAAGTTCAAAAGTTTTGTAAAAATTCACCTAGTATAAAAATGACGAACGATAACTTTTTTACTTACCTGAATTTTAGAACAAAATATTTTTTTTTCAAAAACGCCTTACCTGCTTTTTTTAAAATTTGTCCATCAGTGACGAGTATGTAGGATGAATTTTCTCAAAAAATTTGAACATAACATTATATTTTTGATTAGGTAAAATATACCTTAAATATCGAGCTTATAATAAAACCATAAATAAATCTAATATTTTAGTGCAATCCTTATTAAAATGTTAGTTTTTGATACTGTTTTTCAGATTTCCTTCTAATTTTTTTTACTGATTGTAAAATTGAAACACCCATGTTGATAGAAACTATTTATTTTATATTTAGGTAAGGAATGGTCAAATGATGTTACTTATTTTTAAAAAAGATCTGTATATTTATTTGGGAATACTTTTATTTTATTATTAGTCTTACAATGACTTAATCAAAACATTTTTGTAAATTTAAGGTAAACGGATCAATAAAAAAATATGGCTATGCAGTTATAAAAAACAGTTGTTTGTACAGAAGAATTGAAAATATAGAATGCGTAAAAATTATTAATATTTTTATTTCTAATAAACTTTTTTCATTACAATGTACTAAATATCCAAAGAAAGTAAAATTCACATTAAAAAAATAGACACACTGGATGTACCTATGTACAATTTATTTATTCCTAAATCAACATAAATACAAGTATTTAATAAGTAACAATGCATTATAAAAATAAAAAATATGTTGTCAAGCAAGTTTTGTATGCAAAATTACAAACCTACTTCTTGTTTAATATTGACTGAATTCTTTGTAAACTTTTGCCTTTGGTCTCAAGATAAAAAAATCGAACTATAGGTAACATTGCAACACTAATCAATACAACAGGAAAAAATTTAAATAACTCCGATATGTCTATTAGTAACTGTGTCACTATTTGTGAACCAAACCAAAGGGCTGTAAAAGAGGCCGAACTTATCATTTTTATTTTTAATGGAAACAATTCAGCCAATAAAATTGTTTGTAAAATCAAAAGAAAACATTGACTTCCGATTAAAATTACTGTTGGTAAGAGAAAAACATACGCGTTCTCTATTGGCATTAAACTGAGTATTATAATTGTTGCAGCAGATACAGCGATTACTACATAAGATATCATTAGTAGCAATTTTCTTCCAATCTTATCAACTAAAGCGGTAGAAATGCAGCAAGTTAACACAGCAGCTACACCTAAAATAAAATTAAGATTCGATCAATTTAACGTTATATTTAAACAAAATAAAATGTGTTTTGCAACATTTTAACATTACAGACTGTATGAGATCTGTCAATACAGTTATTCAAGATTAATCAATGCTGCAAACCTTCTTGTCGTGTGGTAGATGTTTTATTTCAATTATAAATAAAAGAAAACGTGTCTAAAATTTATCACAGTTACAGTCTGTTCGCTTAACAAAATTATGCAAATTAGTCATTGACAACTAGTTTCAATGAGCCTCTTCCCAAGAAATTAGGTAAAATTGACCAAATGGTCAGATTTAAATTAAAATAACATTAGGGTAGGTACTAAATTTGTTACAAATATTGCAGTTGAATTGATTCTTTGCAAGTGTTGACATTGTATGTATATTGTAAATTTAGTGGAAATTTTAAAAATGCCTAGATGTGTGTTAGATGTAGATAGTCTAATTTGTAGTGTACATAAGTATTTTACGGACGCAAACGAAAATGGCGGTCCTTTAAAATCGATAATGTCTGTACCACAATGCGTATGCGATGCTCTAGGAATTAGTAAAACCAAATTAAGAGGAGTATTACAAAATCACAATAGTGAACTGCCGAAAGAAGATCACCGAAAAACTCGCCCATCATTGAAAACGAAAGATATTCCAGATGGAAAGAAATTTGAAATTCGTGATACCATTTATCGAATGAGGGCTAACAAGGATCATGTGACCTTAAATACAATTCTCTCGGAATTAATAGATATAAAATTTGACGACATTGGCAGAACAAGTCTATAGCAAGTGATACATAACTTGGGTTTCAAATTTCAAAAGGAGGAGAACAGAAATGCCCTTTGTGAAAGAAGTTCTGTCATGCACAAGATAATTAACTTTCTAAGAAAATATTCTAAATTTAAAGAAGAAGGGGAGAATTTTATATATTCAGACGAAACATGGATATTTTCTAGGGGTGCAACCAAGAGAATATGGCAAGATGATAACGTAAAGTTCATTAAACATACCCATGGAGAAGGGAAGCGACACAAAATTTTACATGCAGAAGGTGCTGATTTAATATTTTTATCTAAATCAAAATCCAGTGACTATCACGATAATATGAACACAGAAATGTTTGTAAAATGGTTGCATGAAAAACTTCTCCCAGGTTTAAGTGATCCCAGCGTGATTATTTTAGACAATGCACCTTACCATTCTGAAGTATTAAACAAAAGCCCAACGAATTCTTGGACTGTTGATAAAATTAAAGAATGGTTGACAAAGGAACATATACCATTTCCTCAATATATATTAAAATCAGAATTATTACGCTTGGCAAATATACACGCAAAACGAAAAACCTTTGTTGTGGATCAGATTATTGAAAGTTACGGTCATCAAGTTTTACGTCTGCCACCGTATCATTTCCAGTTTAATCCCATCGAATATATATGGGGAATAGCAAAACAATATTATGACAACCATATTGGGCCTAATGGCTATAGTGACGACGCAGTTCGGGAAACTTGGCGAAAAGCACTTTCAATTGCAACTCCAGAAGTGTGGCGGAACTGTATATTCAAGTGCAAGAAACTAATAGAAGATTGGTGGACTTGTGAAAATAAAATAAACGAAATAAGTCCAATCATAATAACAATTAATGGTGATGACAGTGATAATGATGACGATTATGATATTTTGGATGATAATGACTGATTTTCATTTTTGTTGGCAAGTTCAATTTTTTTATTTTTCATTTGAATTTCTCTACATGGAACAAATTTTTATGTTAGAAAATATTTTATTTGAGCTAAATAACCCTCTTATTATACATAGACCATATTTTCTGTGTGAAGTGTAATATAAAATTATTATTAGGTTTATAATAGCCACATTAGACTCCATTAATCAAGAAGTTTAATTCTGCTTTTAATTATACAGAAGATTCTCCATTATTATTTAATTAAAAAGTTGTACATTATTTTTTATTTCATTTAACCAATTGATATTTCCCCAACGAACAGGTCAAACTTTCGGGTACTTACCTAGAAATACTCATAAAATTTTCAATCCGCAACCCGCGTAAGTATAGTGAACAGACTGTAGCAAGAATTCGCTAGCATATTTACGCAAAAACTGTAAAAACAGAGAAAGGTAGAAAGAGAAAAAGTTCCTTTAGATCTCACACAGATGAAAAATTAAAACGAGTAAGGTCAACATTAGGCTGCCTGGGTAAAAAATCTTCTGAAAGTTCCAAATAAAATTATTAAAAGATCAATGGATAAAGGATTTATTTCGAAAATAAAATTCTCAAAATCAGTATTACACAAATTTATTTTTTATTAAAAACTACTTGTTAATTAGGTAATGTTAACACAGGCAAAATCGGTTTCGGCTAAAATGCCATCATCAGGCCTAGAATAGAAGGGACAAAACATGGTTTTTTTAAAATTACAGAGAAAAATATTGAAAAACACACCTAAGATGAAAATTCATATTCCTATAGGCATCAACATCAAAAAATAACTAGATATTCTTAAAAATACATAACTGTTATTTAGTTAGTCTCTTGTATAGATAATCTTCGCGTCTTTCGAGTCTCAGATTACCTTTTTATGTTTAATAATTATTAAATAATAAATCTTATACAACTAAAAACAAATTTAAGAATATATTAAATAATGATGTGTTATTTTAGTGGTGAATTAATTTTTTTATGGTATATATATGTAATTTGAAATAAATTTAAATCGTATAAATAGAGTACATTTGAGATTACATTCCACAAATCTTTTATATCAGGAAACTAAATTACTAAATATTCACTTAATATATGTTTAAAACCGCCTAACCAGAATGTTCCATGATCCATCAAAGTTGACTACCCTGAATCATCAGAGGTATAGTCGGTCAAAAACTGACTTTGATATTAAAACTGAACTTTTTCATAAAACTGCTACCCAACATTTCTTTGTGTACTATGGACCTAAATTATTTAACAAGCTTCCAAAAAGTCTAAAAGCAACAACAATTTTTTTTTAACTGAGGTGAAAACGTTTATACAAAAAATGCAATTATATTTAACATCCCTTAATCATCTTGATCTTGAGAATAATATTCCTCTCTATTCTTGAAGTGTACTACTTTGGGCGACTCGCCCAGTATTTTCTTAGCAACAAAAAAAAGGACAAGAAAAGAAAATTTTTTAATTTTGTAATTGTTTTATGTCTTAACTTCTATATGCTATATTCATTATATAAGTTAGGAATGCTTATTCTATACAGAGTTTGGACTTTCAAGTCTAATGTGATGCTGCGTTTGCCTGACTTCCATTTGTATTTAATATTTTCATTCTCTCATTATATAGAATAGTGTAATGTATTTAAACCAAATAAATTAAATTGAAGTTATTTAAAATTTAATCATTTTCGAATTCTGACTTACCTCTAATAAGCGATGCATTCAATCTTCCATGTATATAATAATATAGGGAAAAAATTGTCGCGACTACTCCAATTGAAATCACAATTTGTGATACCAAAATACCAAACATCATAATTCCACTTTTGACCCATCCTGGACCTCGTACACATACCATAATTCTTTCGTATTCTTGAGCATTTTGTCCATTCTCATTAACTTGTCCTTGCATTTCAATAAGTTCAATATCTGTATTTATATTTTGTGCTCTTAACTTATTAAGAACTATTTTTGCAACATTATGGCGTTCTTTTTTTAAATAATAATAGGGACTTTCTGGAGCTATTAATGCAAATGTAATACAATAAGCTATAGCTAAAACTATAATAAATAAACTCACTAAAACAGTCGAAGCAAAATAATCGTATGTGATGTCCGTCAGTAATAGAATGAAAATTTCTCCAATATGATAAAATATAAACATTGACGATATAAAACCTCCTTTAGAATTAGTTTCACTGATTTCTGCAACGTAAATCGGTAATACAGCGAAACTGCCTCCGACAATCATACCAGAACAGATTCTGGCTATGCAAAATAAAAATATAATGCCATAAAAGAATTCAGAAATAATAACACTAATGATTGCAGGAAAAGTCATTAAAAGTAAACTATATCTTCTTCCTATTAGTTCTGCTAATAATGAAAATATTATTGACCCTATTATTTGACCTATTAATTCAAAGATAAAAAACATTCTAAAATACCTACTGTGAAAAACTTTATCGAAATATATTACAGGCCAAACTGTAAATGCACCGGACACTATCATGAGAATGTTACCTGAAACCACCAAAAAATATATTAAATTGGAGTAAATTTAAAATTCCTCCCTGTATATTGTAATATAAAAGTAATACACACCTGACATTACAGGTAACAATATTCTCCGATTAACCATTTTTCTATAAAAGTTTTTTAAATTGTATCCACTAATAACTTATAATTACTGAATTAATTAAAAAAAAAATATATTTGTATTATCTTGTATACATAATTTTGAACTTTCAACCTCATATCAATGTTTATTTAAAATTTTGATATTTATTTATAATTTTGTTGAAAAATGCGTAAAAATTATTAATATTTTTATTTCTAATAAACTTTTTTCATTGCAATGTACGAAATATCCAAAGACAGTACTGGATGTACCTATGTACAATTTATTTATTCCTAAACCAATATAAATACAAGTATTTAATAAGTAACAACGCATTATGAAAATAAAGAATATGTTGTCAAGCAACGCACATGTTGTTTTTAAGTTTTGTATACAAAATTACAAACCTACTTCTTGTTTATTGACTAAATTCTCTGAAAACTTTTTCCTCTGGTCTCTGGTCTCAAAAAATCGTACTATAGGTAACATTGCAACACTAATAAATACAACAGGAAAATATTTAAAAAACTTCGATATGTCTATTAGTAACTGTGTCACTATTTCTGAACCAACAAAAGGGCGGTAAAAAAAGCTGAACTCATCATTTTTATTTTTAATGGAAACAATTCAGCCAATAAAATTGTTTGTAAAATCAAAAGAGTACAGTGACTTCCCATTAAAATTAATGTTAGTAAGAGAAAAGCATACGCGTTCTCTATCAGTAATAATCTGAGTATTATAATTGTTGCTGCAGATACAGCGGTTACTCCATAAGTAGCAATTTTCTTCCAATCTTGTCAACTAAAGCGGTAGAAATGTAACAAGTTAACAAAGCAGTTGCACCTAAAAAAATATTTTGAAATTAAGGTTCAATCATATATATATATATATATATATATATATATATATATATATATATATATATATATATAAATTATTTAACAATCAACGTGTCTCAACATATACAGGGTGTTAGTATATTCGACCGATAACGCTCTATCCCAGACAGCTCTCGTTATTTGATCAATTCGAATATCATCGCTCTAATAAGAAAAGTGCCTAACTCCACTTTTTGGCAAAAATGGGATTTTGCTGCCGTCTATTAGAATAACGTCTAAGCCACCTTCTATCAAAGCTGCAGAGTGTCAACTTTACCGGTTAATTTTAAATTGAAACAACAGAAATTTGCCTATCTCCGACTTGACAAATGTCAAAAATAAATTTGCCTAACTCCACACTTTTGTTTAAAAGTGAAGAACGAGTATCGGATGGGAATGATATTTTGTGTTATTTTTGTTAATAATAAGTTAAATTTAAAGTTTTATGTGTTAGGTGTGTAGAAGAACAAGTAAATAATAAGGTAAATATGAAGATACACTTTCGTTTATTTTAATATCTTAAAAATATTACCCAAATAATTTTACTGGAGTTAGGCATTTTGTGTATTATTGATAACACGTGAAGAAATGGAGTTAGGCAATTTTATAAACTAGCAATAATAATTAATAATAATAAAGCCCGCTTGTACATTCCAAGTTCAAATCATGGTTCAGCTGAACTCGGCTGGTACTTGAAGTCGCCTATTTAAAATGCATTGCTGTCAATTTCTGACAGGTTTCGTGCCATTTTGACAGCAATTATTGAGTTCAGCTGAACCATAATTTAAACTTGGAATGTACAATCGGGCCTTAGGGATTTTTGGGTAAAAACTTTAAAATACTAAAATAAAAACTAGAAAATAAGATAAAATTTAAAAACTATCAAGACAAGCTTTTATTTTAAATTACTGTTCTTGAAGTATCTACGTATTTATAATGGGTTTCATTGCTACTCTAGTACCTAGTTTTGGGTGTCTACGAAAACGAACTTTGGGCTGCCACCGGCGCGGCGCGGCGTATACAAGAGGGGGTAATGGGAGTAATTACCCACTCAGGATATAAAAAAATCCGTAGTAAAACAAAGTCCTGGAAATAAAGCTACTTTAACCCAAATTAAAATGTTTCTTTCAAAGTGTATAGTATGACATCGCCCTAAGTTATTCAAAAATAGGCTATTTTAAAACCATGAATGCGTTATTTTAGGGAGCATTTTTTTCCGCGTTCCTTCCAGATTTTTTTCTTGCTTTCCCCTTTTTTTCGGGGTATTTTTTAGGGGCGTTTTGCGTTCACCGGTGCCAGGCACAAGGGCTAGATACGCCGTTGTGGAGTTCTTTTTAACACCTCTGTAAAATCCTATTTTATGGATTAAAGTACATTTTAAATAAAAGTGTTTCTGAAAGGCGTTTTAAATTTTATTTTATCAAAGGAAGCATTTATTAATTTCAATTTAGTATTCACGTAAGGATTTTTTCCAGCAGTTGTCCAACATGTCGTCTAGAACACAAAAAATGCTGGAACTAGCAAAAGTAGTTTTTGAAGAAGGGCGAGAACTAAATAATAGTGATTCTGATTGTTTAATGCAGCCACTTAAAGAACCTTCTGGTGAGAAAATGAGCCAAATAATTGAAGAAGAACTAATAAATCTACCAACTATTTTAATGCCAGATCTTGGCGACCATTCTATTGATGAATTTGCGGATATTATTACTAGTGTAAACCAAAATGAGGCTGAAAACGAAAGGGTTTTAATTGTTGGAAATATTTCTAACTTAGAATTTCATGATAACAGTAATTATAAAAATGATGTCAACGAAACTGAGGCTAACAAGGAACCCTCTGGCAATGAGACTAACTCCGAATTAGAGAAAAATGAGGAGAATGAGGAACCAACATTAAAAAGAAAAAGATCTTTCAATAATAAAGAAAAGGAAGATAGATGGGACCAACTTAAAAACAAGAAGGAGATGGAGCAAGGTGTGAAATACAAAGGCAAAAAGAAAAGAGGGTTAGAGTGGGACTACAGCGTGGAAAAACCAGCTAGATTTATTTCAGCACCCTGTAGCTGCAAACTTGGACAAAAGACCACGAAACTTAAATGTCAAACATTAAGTGAAGAAATGAGGCAACGGCTTTATAATAAGTTTTGGTCAAAAATGTCTTGGAAAGAAAAGAAAATGTATGTAAAGGGATTGGTCCAAGTGGAAGGTGTTAAAAGGAGGCAAGGAAGACAAGAAGGCCCATCAAGAAGGGATTTTTCCATGAAATATTTTCTAAAAAACGGCGTGCAACTAGTAAGAGTGTGCAAGAAAATGTTCGCAGGGACTTTAGGCCTAAAAGAACGCGGAATTGTAAATTGGGTAAGGGAGGACTACTTACAAGAACCACAGGAAAGAGAAAACATAAACAAAAAAAGTGAATCAAGACAGAAAATATATCAAGAAAGAACATCTGGCGTTGAGAAATTTTTAAAAAGTCTTCCAACTGTTGAGAGTCACTACTGTCGTTCATCTTCTACAAGACGCTATCTAGAACCAATTTGGAGGTCCAAGAGTCACGTGTATCACTTTTATAAAAATGAATATTGTAAAGAAAAAAAATACCTCCAGTATCGGATGCGAAATTTTTAAGTTTAATGCAGAAAATAAACATGTCAGTATTTAGACCGAAGAAAGACGAGTGTGACGTTTGTGTCGGCCATCAGACTAAAAATGTTACTGATGACGTTTATAATCTACATCAAATTTTAAAAGAAGAAGCTAGAGCGGATAAAGAAAAGGACAAGCAAGCTGAAGATGCCATTACATTCACTATGGATCTTCAGTCAGTTCTTTTATCACCAAAAACTAATGTCTCTGCGATGTATTACAAAACTAAATTAATAGTACACAACTTCACGATTTACAATTTGCAAACTAAGGAAGCCTATTGCTTTTTATGGAATGAGGCTGAAGGGCAAACAACTGCTCAAGAGTTTACGTCTATTTTAATATACTTTGTAGAAGATAAAGTTGTGCCTAAAGCAAAGGAAACTGGCAAAATAATTATACTTTTTAGTGACGGATGTTCAAGTCAAAATAGGAATAGCATCCTCTCTAATGCACTTTTCCACTTGGCTTCTGTGAATAATGTGTCCATACTTCAAAAATATCTCACCAAAGGGCACACTCAGATGGAAGTTGATTCCATGCATTCGTCGATTGAGAGGGTTTTAAAGAGAACAAAAATTCATTTACCTGCAGACTATATCGAAGTTTGTAAGAGTGCTCGACGCAGTCCATTTCCTTACCAGGTTGAATATTTTACACATGGATTTTTCAGAAACTTTTCTGCGTTAAACTACTTTCCATCTATTCGACCTGGTAAAATGGTGGGCGATCCGACAGTTATGGATATCAAGGCATTGAAGTATGAAAATGGTACTTTGACGTATAAACTCCGACATACATCGGAAGTTTGGGAAGAACTGCCAAGAAGAATGAAAATAGACATACAATTTAACATAAAGTCTTACAGAGATTTACCGCCACTCTATAGCGATAGAAGAAAAATAAAGAAAGAAAAATATCAACACCTACAAGCATGTTTTTTAATTTGTTCCTAATCTAAGCTATTTTTTCGATGTTTTTTTCAAACCAAAGTAATTTGATTATTTGTTTTCTTAATTTAAGCTGTTTAATCCGATATTTTTTTATTAAATTATTTTGATTATTGTGTTTTCTTCGTTTTTTTTAATGGGTAAGAATTTTCCTATGTCCAATTTTCAGGTGCTTTTAAAAAAGAAAAATGCCTATCTCCAAAAAATCAATTAATAAATAAATAAGAATTTTGCCTATGTCCAATTCTCACGTACTTTAAAAAATAAAAATGCCTATCTCCAAAAAATTGATAAAAAAATAAGAATATCGTAATTATTTGTTAACCGTTTAAGTATTAATGATGAGTTTAACCTTGTATTAAAATTTTAACCAAAAAACCTGTATTTTGTTTAAAATCAACGGTTTTTCTTCTCTGCTGTAAATTTTTTTTTTTTTTATAGAGCTAAAATGAACAGTGTCGCAGAAATTTGCTTCTAAACAAAACTCTACATGTTCTTAATCACTTGTAAGTATTCAATATTTTTAAATTCTAATCTAGTAAGCACGTGTCAATTTTTTTAAAGTTTGTGTTTTTGACAAGATCTTGGTGGATCAAACATAAAAAAAATATTTAATAACGTTTTTGTTTATGGTAAATTTTGAATTTTGATTTAAAAGATCTTTAGTATTTCATGTTCCTATATCAAAATTCGTCAATTAACGAGAGCTCTCTGTGACAGAGCATTGTCGGTGGAATATTCTAACACCCTGTATATGTTTATTAACAGAGTAAGGGGTCTATTCTGTAACAATTCCTTTATATTTAACAACCTTTAAAAATATTTTCTTCTTTACTTCTGTCATTATTTAAACGGATCTTTAATATACATTAGAGGACTATCTTAAATAAATCTGTTTAAATAATGACAGAAGTAAATTAACGAATACGAACATATTTTTAAAGGCCGTTAAATATAAAGGAATTGTTATAGAATAGACCCCTAAATCATTTATTTTCACTAATGTGTTAATCCTTTAAGTAAAGAAAACTGGAAGTGATAGTAGTAAATAACTGCGCGTTTACATTTATTTTGATATAATTTAATACTAGTTGCAAGTTAAAACTAGGAATTATTTACCAATCTTAAAAGTATTAGTTTCAAAATAAACTGTGCCAATATTCAGATAAATTCAAATCAATTGATAGTAGCTGTCATCGAAATAAATAAATAAATTCTAATGAAGAAAATTTTAGTATCCAATAAAGTGATATTATGGTGATAAAGATAATAAAAAATAAATTGGGAAGCGGTAAATTCCTTTTTGAAAAAGGAAAACAGTAGTTTGGTTTCCGATAATGAAAAATTAATTAATTTAATAAATGACAAAGTCTCAATAAAATTAAATAAGCAAATTTCATTCAAATTGTCAAAGTTAGTTTAATCTTCAACACGGTTTAATTGTTCGGCAAATAATATATTACATCCTCTAATTACATGTATAACCTGCAAGAACGTGCTAGAAATCGAAGCCGAGAAGGATTGTGACACAATATAGTTTTTATAATAAAAAGGTGAGTATTGATCGTCTCTACTCATGTGCAAAATATAGTTCCTCTTTAAATAACTAGAATTTGTTCTTGAACGGTTAAAAATTACTAAAGTCCTTCCTATGGGGCCTCAGTATTGCATTCGTGCAGTCGAAAAAAATTTTCTTACCACTATTTTTTATACTTTTTCTACGTTTTCTATCCGAAAGTGCAAAAAAAATGTTTTATCTGGTCGTCTGTGTGTATATATGCTGGCACGATAACTCTATAATGAAAGTTCTGATTGGTTTGCAGTTTTAATTTTCTTAAATAATTGCTTCTAACTTTGAACCCTATTGATTTTCATAATTTTCGGTTCATCCTAACTACTTTAATATTAATGTTCTTAAAATCCGTCCATGCACTTCTTATGTGACTTATTTTACGCATTATAATCATTCCTAACGTCTAACATTCCTAACATACCGTACATTCGATACATTCCATACATTCCATACATTCCATACATTCCATACATTCCATACATTCCATACATTCCATACATTCCATACATTCCATACATTCCATACATTCCATACATTCCATACATTCCATACATTCCATACATTCCATACATTCCATACATTCCATACATTCCATACATTCCATACATTCCATACATTCCATACATTCCATACATTCCATACATTCCATACATTCCATACATTCCATACATTCCATACATTCCATACATTTCATACATTCCATACATTCCATACATTCCATACATTCCATACATTCCATACATTCCATACATTCCATACATTCCATACATTCCATACATTCCATACATTCCATACATTCCATACATTCCACACATTCCATACATTCCATACATTCCATACATTCCATACATTCCATACATTCCATACATTCCATACATTCCATACATTCCATACATTCCATACATTCCATACATTCCATACATTCCATACATTCCATACATTCCACACATTCCATACATTCCATACATTCCATACATTCCATACATTCCATACATTCCATACATTCCATACATTCCATACATTCCATACATTCCATACATTCCATACATTCCATACATTTCATACATTCCATACATTCCATACATTCCATACATTCCATACATTCCATACATTCCATACATTCCATACATTCCATATATTCCATACATTCCATACATTCCATACATTCCATACATTCCATACATTCCATACATTTCATACATTCCATACATTCCATACATTCCATACATTCCATACATTCCATACATTCCATACATTCCATACATTCCATACATTCCATACATTCCATACATTCCATACATTCCATACATTCCATACATTCCATACATTCCATACATTCCATACATTCCATACATTCCATACCTTCCATACATTCCATACATTCCATACATTCCATACATTCCATACATTCCATACATTCCATACATTATATACATTCCCCACATTCCATACATTCATTAGAATTTAGAATTATATGTCATACTCTGTCAAAACAAATTAGCGCGGTGTTGCCAAGTGTCCACTTAATATCAACAAAAAAGAAATATAAAAAATACTTTATTTTTGACATAACATTTCCATACTCTTTAAAAAACAGTTCTATTAATTTATTTCCGGTCACACCCAATGATTTATTTATCCATTTTGATTGAATTGTTGTATATAATTTTTAAATATTAATATTACATCATCTATAAAGTAATAAACAATGAACTTTTCAAAAACTTTGAAACATAATTACATTTTGTTATCCAAAATTTTTAAAACTTTTTTGAATCAAGTGAATTTATTTGTTTGGTAAATGACGCTAGCCAGCAAATATAAAAGAGTACTACCAACAAGAGGATAGCTGAATTAGTTCAATTTGTGTTAACTGTGACGTCACTCGGTGGATACTTTTAAGGCATTTCTTTATAAGCTTACCACAACATACTTGGTTACAGTATTGTAGTTACTGTGGTGACGTCACACATACCGTGGTAACCTGTTATATAATGTCATATGTCAAATTTAATTGAAATTTGGGGATTTCTAAACGGAATTTAAGGTCAAATTTCGTTTAGCCGAAATCAGTTAAGTAAAAATTGTTGCCATGGTAACCAGTAAACACCAATCCAAATCTCGTGGTAAGGAAATTGTAACGGTTGAAACCGTTATTTAGTCCCAAACATTGTAACGGTTGTAACCGTTTTCGTTATTTTGACACCAACATCTCTACACAAATGTCACTTGTCGTTTATGACTTGTGTCAACAGTTGGCAATTCATTTCGATATATAGCTGTCATCGAACAAGTTGAATTATTGAATTTTAATTATTTTTTATCTTGTCTTTAATATTTTTAATGACCGTCTGATTTTAAAAAGGTAAGTTTCCTACCGATATTTTGTTGAAAATATATATTTAGTACAAGAATTTCTTTGTTAAAATGCCAAATTTTAAAACATAACCTCAACACATTAAATCACACAAGAAATCACATGTTTAATATAATTTTATATATTATTTTGTTAGGAAAGAGATAATATGCTTTATTATATTTAAATATGTTAAATAAGATTTTTCCTTTTCAAATTAAGTTTAGCCTCTGTGAAACTATTCAAATAATAGTTTAAATGTGCGTTTAATAGTAAAAAGCATTATCTGTTTCCTATATACTCTTCCTGGCTCCTTTCTTTATATTTTTACCTTTTTCCTTGTAGCTTGGCTGTATATAGATGGTTCAATAGAAGTTTTATCGAAAAAGATTGTTTGGAAGGACGTTCATGCTACATGTGTGGAATTATTGAAACTTAGAAGTTTGGTTCCAGCTACGGAGGTTGTTTCAAGTATATCAAGAGGTTTAGTTCGAGCCATCCAAAGAAGTCTACGAGATTTAACTTTACCTATGAAGATTTGACACTTGATGATATCCAAGCCTATCATACGAATACCCTGTACCTGTTACCTGTTATACCACCGATAAGTTTTCAAAAATTATTTAAATTTGAATAAGTAAGTCTCTGTGAATTAGAATTTGTCACTACCTTATTTAATTATAATATCTTAATGGTTAGTGATTTTCTATATTTTCATCACTAATCGATTGTCAAGTTTAGAAAGTTTTAAATATAGTGGCGCCCAACATTCTGTTTCAAAGTAATACGAGTTGTTTAATAACCTGACCCACTCCCCAAAATCATAGAGCTTAAAACACTATAAAAATAGATAAAATAACAAGATCGTATTACAAAATGCATAGTTCCCAAGTTATAGATCATTTAATGTTCACTTTATTTTGGATGAAATCAGTTATGGTGAAAGTGTTGCCATGTGAACGCTTGACATAGTAATGACTAAACAAAAAACCAAATCCCGTGGTGAGAAAATGCGTGGTTCCAAAGTTGTAGATGAGTTAATTTAGCTGTAATCAGTTACGGAGAAACTGATACCAT